TGAGTTTAAAATGCACTCTCTAAGCTGGCTTAGAAGGTAGTGCATTATCCTCTTTTTAGGACCATTTATTGGGTACTTATATGTGCATGGCATTTTAAACAAAGTTAGATAATGCAGCCCATGCTGTTTAGAAACTTACAACTTGAAACAGATCACAATTGGTGGGTTAGTTCCCTGGGAGCAGGTCAATGAGGAGGAAGATAAAAGATTTTAGCTGTTAAAGGACATTAGAAGTCACTTAATCCAACCCCTTATTTTATAGATGCAAAATGGAAGCAACACACCTTGAATAGGTCAGTTGCACAATGCACCAGTGGCAGAGCCTCCTGGATCTGCTTTAACCACGTGCCTCTGGTCCACTTTCTAGAGGGTGTGAGACTCAGTCTAGGCTGCCTCCTGTGGGCTTTTACACAAAGGTAGAAGATAGTTGTTTAATCCTATCTATAGTAACGGGACACAACAAAAGACCTCAGGAGGCTCAAGAAAGAAGAACTTGGAAAATGGCCGAGTAGGCATAGTTGAGAATCCAGAGAGCAGAACATTTCCATAATCAGGTAAGAGGTGTTGATGACCAAGATTATAAAAATTAGAATGGAAAGAAACAGTTAGAGGATGCTTTTACATCGTTACAATCCCCATTTGACTAGTAGTGTGGGATAGCCACAAATGGAAGGACTATCCAAATTATTGGTAAGTCCCTAACTTAGGCATAGAGTTTATTATAACAGAGATAGGCTTCTGTCCCCCAAAATGTGTGCAATTTAAAATAGATGAGGGCGCTATATATATATGGAGGATTTCAACGGTACAGACAATTTAATATTGACTTTGTGATTTGAATATAACTGTGGAAGCACTGTTTCTGGAACTCCAGGGATATTCTGTGAAGTTTCAAATGCCCACACCACAATATATAAAGGCATTTGGTAGTAATGACAAAAGACTGACCCAGAGCATTTCCCCGAGGTAAAAAGAAAAAAGTTGAATTAGAGTAGGGGTGGGTAGCCATGAAGAGACAGGGTAGAGTTTGAGCTCTTGCTCGTCTGGCTGGGAAAATGCTTTACTGTATACATAATCGACTTCGTACTACACTAGGGCTCAATTAGAGAGGGCCCATCCCATTCTGTTTCACTCCGTTTTGATCCTGTAGTCAGCTGCAGAGTTATAGATGAAGTGACAAGGATGGTATCTTGATTGTATCCAGCTGCTTGGAATCAGTCAAGGGCTGAGAGGCCCCGCATGAGGAACAGCGCTCACTATAAAGGCTCCAAAGCAACCTGAAATTCAGGACACCTCTGATGCCTTTTAGAGCAGCGGAATTTAGCATCTGACCCATTGTCACCAAATTAAGTCCCTGAGAGAAGTCTGATAAGTGACTTCAGCCAACAGTAAGAGGACCGAAATCTTAACAGCACTGGACTCGACAACTGAGCCAATAATAATAATGTTATTATTATGGCTGCAAAAGAGGGGCTTGTAAAGAAGAATCCCTAGGGAAAGCGATTTGAGCTTTTCTTAGCATGAAGTAGAGAGCTGTGTTGACTCAAAGTAAACAGGGGGAGAAAAGCAACTTCCATCTTCAGCAGAAGTGCCAACTGAATTGGATGCCCCCTCCCCACGCCCTACTCCTTTTCTTTCACTTTGGCATCCCTGGTGTTTAGTTATGTGTGCTTGGAGCCCTTCGGAAATCTCTTTAACCCCATGAATCAGTGATCATGGCATTGGTGTGACTTGAACAGGCAGGTGCTTGGTGCTGAGAAAAGGAAGCTGGCAGCGCATTTCATGGCATCTGCCCAGGCCCGCAAAACAAACAGAAGTTATGGCTCACATACTGTGTTGCTGCTCTGGGCTCTATAAAACTGTAATAGTATCATATTATTTTAATCTGCTGAAATACAAACCCCAGAGTAGAGAGAACACAGCAGCAGCATTACACATCTGAGAAAATGTTTGACATGGATTCATTTGTCTGCAGCTATTATGACGATGCCTGTGGTCGATTAGCTCTATTGGTTACAACATGGTGTTAATGAAGCCAAGGTTGTGGGTTTGAGAGCCCTGTTAGGTGAGCTGGTTTCACACAAATGAAAGCTCTTTTCATGATCCCAGACCATGCCCAAGACCTAGGTCAGACATTCCATAAAAGCACGGAGATGGTCACAGTGAGGACTGGACAAGACAATGCAGTGTCTCACCAAAAATGCCCCTTCTACCTGCTTCTGGAAAAACAAATCACAACATGTGCTTTAGTGGGGAAGTAGGACTGTGGTCTTCACACACAATGGATATCACGTTATAATTAATGGTAACTGCTGGTCAGTATTGCTGCAGGCTTCCTTCCTGAATTAAGGAGTATACTGGCTCTGGTATATATTTTCTCTGAAGAAAAGAGGAGGATTTTTGATTCCCTTCATTCTTGGCTTTTTACTCGCTGAGATTCTGCCCAATCGTGCGTTAGACAACTGCGTGTGGAATGTTGTAGAGTGCCAGACACTGTTCTTTGTGCTTGGGATACCACAGTGTATAAAACAGTCTCTGTCCTCTTTGAGTTTAAATTCTGCAAGAGGAAAATACATAGTAAACAATAAATAACCAAGATAATGGTGCAAGTGAAAGTTTGGGAAAGAAAAGGATGGGGTTGGGGGGGTGTGGTGACGAGTGGCTGGTTGGGGGTGCTGTTTGCCTCAGCAAGGAAGGTTCGAGAAGCCCTCTCAAAGTAGTTGACATTTAAACAGGGACCTGACAGATGAGAAGGACCCAAGCCTTTGGAAGAGCTGGAAGAACACTCCAGCCAGAAGAAATAGCAAGTGCAGAGGGCTTGGGGTCTAGTGGTGGCTAAAGAACAGAAGGGCCACTGGAGAGTGAGGGGACATGGTGAGAGAAGAGGTGAAGAGTAGGCAGGCCCTCTGTGACATGTGAAGGAGTTGAAATGTTATTCTCAGTGCAGTGGGAAGCCATTTTGTTTTGTTTTGAGGGCGAGACCTTTCTTTGAATATTTTGGGAGTGATACTATAGGTTGAATTGTTGAAGTCCTGATCTTCAGTAGCTCAAAATGTGACTTTATTTGGAAATGGGGTATTACTTATTTGGAAATGGGGTATTTTCAGAGGTTAATCAAGTTTAAAATGTTGTCAGGTGACCCCTAATTCACAGACTGATGTCCTTATCGAAAAGGGAAATTTAGACACAGAGATAGGCTTGCACAGAGATAGGCTTGCACAGAGGGAAGATGGCCTGTGAAGACGGAGGGTTGGAGTGAGGCATCTACAAGCCAAGCAATGCCAGAGATTGACAGCCAGCCACCAGAAGCTAGGAAGAGGCAAGGAAACATTTCCCGACATGTTTCAGTGGGAGCATGGCCCTAATAACACCTTGCTTTCAGATTTCTAACCTCTAGAACTTAAGACTAGTTTCTGATCTAAACCCCCCAGTTTGTGGTTCTTTGTTAACAGCAACCGTAGGAAACTTAAAAGGGCATAGGGCCCAAACACACTGGCTCTGCCCTAGGGAGTGGCATGAAGTGTCCTTTCTGGACTCAGCAACACTTGTGTGTTGGGGAAGCCTCTAGTCGCTCTGGCATATGATCATATGACTTTTATATATATTTAGGGAAATTGATGATGAAAATAACTCTATTAAAATAGATATAAAATAGGATAGAATGCACTAGTTGAATTACCCTGTGCAGAACACCCTAATATTCTTTTAGGAATGGTCCTTTTAGGGATGCTGTGCAAATGATGCTTTGGAAGGGCAAGAATGGCGGGAAGGAGACAAATTAGAAAGCTAGCACAGTAATCTTGGTGATGGACAGTGGTGGTTTGGGCTAGAGGGAATGGCACTAGAGGTGGTAAGAGATAGAAGAAGATCTAGCAGGACTTGCTAATGGATTGAACATGAGGAAAGGAAGGAATAAAGACTGAGTCTTAGCTTTTGGGTTTGAGCAACTGGCTGGCTGATTTATTGAGATGGAGAAGATTGAGAGAATGACTGGTCTGGGGATATGGAATCAAGAGTTATGTTTTGGACGTGTTAGGTTTGTTTATTCAGGTGGAGATATTAACTAAATGGTTGGCTATCTTAGAAACATTCAGGGCTAAACATAAATTTAGAGGTCACCAGATTATTGATGATATTTAAAGTTATTGAAACTAGATGAGATTACTTAAAGAGAGTTTGAAGAAGAGAATAGGGCCTAGGACTGAATTCTCAGGAACTCCATTATTTAGAAGTCTGGTGATGGTTGAGGAGCTAGCAACAGAGACTGATAAGAGGCACGAAGACCAACCAGCAAATTATCATACTCATTCATGGTATGGATCTTTTCAAGGTTAAACTAAATTATACAGAAATACATGGGAGAAGGTATTGGAAATTCCTCATCCCCAGTATACCCAATTCTGCTTAATCCAACAAAACTCTATGTAAGGACCTTTCCAGATATGGAAATCAAATATTTGTTTTTATTGTGTTACAGATTACAGAATGAGGCAGCCCTTCTATACTTTAGGCTTCCAATAGGTCATAAGAATGGGTGTATGCTCAAGAGAAATAGATGCTTTTTTTTTTTTTTTTTTAAGAAATGGAGACTTTATTATAAGTTTTCATAATCACCAATTTAATACAAATCAGGGCAGTTGAGTTGCAAGGTTCCATTTATTCTTCATTTTGTGAATTCATTAAGAATGGAACCTATTTCATTAATCATGTTAAGAGATTGCCTACCTTGGCCCAACTCAGTAAGCTATTACCCCCACATTACTTGAAATTCCCAAGCACATACAAGAAGATTGGGAGGAAGTCAGAATCAGCATCTGTCTTTGAGTATTGGCAGAATAACTAGCACCTGTCTGATGGAACATCTCCAGAATCCCATTATGACCTTCTTAGGTTATAACGGTTTAAACCTAGCAAGTCTGTTGATACCTGTTTGGATAACTCAGCACTGAATGGTTGCTGTCTGAATTGAAACTTGATTGTTATTATTTGTCTGTCCTTAGGTCTGGCGAGAATTTCCTGACCGGTTGGTGGGTTACCCGGGTCGTCTGCATCTCTGGGACCATGAGATGAATAAGTGGAAGTACGAGTCTGAGTGGACGAATGAAGTGTCCATGGTGCTCACCGGGGCAGCTTTTTATCACAAGGTAAGGGGGCACAGTCCTGGGGCAAGTCGACAAAACTGAGAGAATGATACACATTTTATCTGACCCAATTTAATTTTCCATACCTGCAGAGAGGGCTTACAAAAGCCATATTGTGTGACAGTATTTTACAAATAAAGCTATCCTTTTTCTAATTATACAAGTAATAATGCACGCTCATGGTAGAAAATAGGAAAATACATAAAATAGAATGAAGAAAAGTTACTTATAATCCTGTCACTTAGAGATAAGCATTTTATCTTTCAGGTGCTATTTCTAGCTTGCTGTTTATTTATTTACTTACTCGTATGTATACACAGACAGTTGTAAATATTCTCATTAGCTTGCTTTTTTCATGTATTGTATTGTGAGCCTTTTCTCATGTCATTGACATATCTTCATAAACAGTTACTTCTTAGCATAATTAAGATACCATTATCTTAATGCTTTAGAAGTCATGTATAACTATTTTGCTATCTTGGATATTTCTTTCTAAATTTTTGCTATTTTAGATAATGCTTAATATCTAATATTAGTGATTGATGTCCATTTTCATAACTGTTTGTACTCATGACCATTATGATAGAGTCCTAGAAATAGAATTATTATATTAAAGGGAATGAATATTTTGGGTTTTTTAAGATGTATGTACATACACGTATATATACACATATACAACATATACATATATATGTTGTGAATATTCTAAACGTATATATGTTGTGTATGTACATATATGTGTGTATGTGTCTGTTGGTTTCAGTATTGTTTGTGTGAATTTACACTCCCACCAGCAAAATATAAAACTGTTTTACCATGCCTTTTCTTGCGTGAAATGTTTAATAGAAAAGAAGTTAGTATTTTTATAAGTAAAAGTGATTTTTATTGTCTTAACTTTGATTTGATTACTAGTAAGATTGAAATTCCTTTTGTGTATTTATTAGCCTTTTGTATTTCCTCTCTTCTGGGAATCATCACTTCGTCTTTTTGACTCTTTTTTTTATTAGGGAGAGATTGGGGAATATGCATTTGATTTTAGAATATTCAGTTCAATGGTAGAATGCTCCCTGGGAGTGTATGGTTTAATTAAACAATAATAACTTGTCTGTTGTCAGCAAAGAACTGATGTCAGGAGAAAGGTCTGTTCAGCTCAACACAGTTAATTTAATTTAGCTGTATTCATATCGATTGTTTGTTGTTAGCTCAGCACTACTGCCCTCATATTTTTCGGGTCTCTAGATCCAGAAATGGGTTTTTGTATTTTGCAACAAGCAAACAAAAAAACAAAAACTAAGGTTTATAATTAACGAGATTTATGGTAGTAGACTATGTATGCTTTATTTTTTTTGACGCATTTCTATACTATTTCATATATATGGTAGTTTTAGAATTGACTCATTTTTCTTTTGCTTTAAAAAGCACACACTTTGGTAGAAGAATGACCATATAGAACATGCTTGGTCACTTGACCAAAAGCATTCTAATACCTCCTTGTACCTTTCCTAATAATACAGCCTTGTGATTAATCTTATGAGAGAAAGCTTGTCCCCATGACTTGGCTATGCTGCCCCTTATTTATCAGCCAAAGGGAACTGCTATTTTTGAATATTTCTTCTTTCTGTCTCACTTGACAGTATTTTAATTACCTGTATACCTACAAAATGCCTGGGGATATCAAGAACTGGGTAGATGCTCATATGAACTGTGAAGATATTGCCATGAACTTCCTGGTGGCCAACGTCACGGGAAAAGCAGTTATCAAGGTAGGAGGCTCTGTCACTCACTTGTTTTGAGACCTTGGGCAAATATCTATTATCTGAGCCTAAGAAGTTCTTGTAACTATAAATTAAGTATAGGACTAGATAAACTTTAAGCTCCATTTTAGTTTAAGCTTCTATGATTGATGCGGTCACATTGGGAAACTGAAGCTAGGCTTTGACAATTTAAACTTTTTTTTTATACAGTTTCTTTAGTTGCAGTTTTTAACCTTCAGTATCAGAGACAAAGGCTATGATGATCAATCTGTAAATCAAAAACTTAATTATATTCTCAAAGCTGATACGGGATCTAGTTCTTTTAGTTAAAGGATGTAGTTTAAATTTTTCTTAAGGTAGCTGGTTTTGTTTTTATTAGATGTTGAGAAAATAGTACACCTCATCCAGTTATGTAACTGTAGTTGTCCTAAACACAACTAATTTAATTGTTTTTAAATGTCAATTACCAGTTTTTAAAAGTACCTTTCCCATATCATATTAAAAGCTGAGAATACACAAAGATCCTATGAGAGGCCTTTGTATCTGTAAAAGATGCCTGTTTATTCCTGAAATTTAGACATTTCTCAAATAAGATCCCTAGGTAGGTACAGAAGGTACCCTTCTTTATATGAGTAGAATTATCTTGGTCTTTTTTCCTTCTAGATTAGAATTTCATGTGTGAAAATGGGCAATGCCAGGTTCCCTAACAATCTGCCTAGAAAGCCAAATTCCTAGGTGAGCTTATGCTGGAAGCATGGTGTGGCATTATCCACTGATTCCTCATGCTGTTAACTGATGAGAGAAGCCAGATTAAACCAAAGTGAGGAGGGAAGGAGGAAACATCACTGTCTGTGCTCACCAAACTTGCCCCAGTCCACACCCTGTCCCCCAGCTCTCTAAATAACTCAGTGAACAGCTGACCACACAAAAAAATAATGCAAATTGTGAGAGTTATTTTAAAGGGACCCCTCCCATCCCCAAATTTGCTTTTTTTTTTTCTTTTTTCTTTCTTTCTTTTTTTTTTTTTTTTTTTTTTTTGAGACTGAATCTCTCTGTGTCACCAGGCTAGAGTGCAGTGGCACAGTCTCGGCTCACTGCAACCTCCGCCTCCTGTGTTCAAGCAATTCTGCTGCCTCAGCCTCCCGAGTAACTGGTTCTACAGGCATACTCAGCCGGATTCAGCTATTTTTTTTTTTTTTTTTTTTTTTAGTAGAGACAGCATTTCACCATGTTGGCCAGGCTGATCTTGAACTCCTGAGCTCAGGCAGTCCACCCACCTCGGCTTCCCAAAGTGCTAAGATTACAGGTGTGAGCACTGTGCCCGGCCCCAAATTTGCTTTTTAACATGCTTCAACATGTTTTCAGCTGTGGCTGCTGACTCTGAACATTAATGCCCAGTGTCTCTATGCTTCTTAGCCTGGACTTACTTATCTAGCTTTCTTTCCCTTCCATCTCTTCACTGTTTATTTATCTTCACTAGGTTGGGATAGCAGCTTCCCCTGAGTTTGCTAGGAAGATCACTAGTTAAAGTTTGAGAGGGTAGTGGGGAGTCAGGGAAAAAGATTCAGAGTATGAGGGACCATTCAATTTTTTTCTTGACTCAAGGGAATTGCAGAAGAGCTTGGCATCTTCAAGAGCATGGTGCTGCTCATAGCATTTGCCATTAGCTAGAAAGAGGAGAAAGAGTGCCTGTTGGAACTAAGGTTACGGTGAAAGTTATGGGAAGCTGTATTTCATCGCCCTTATGGCTACAAGAACAAATGGTGTTTATACAAGGACCTTGGCAGTGAGAAAACAGTCATTAAACAGGAATTAAGGAGCTTGTCATCACCACTTCTTTCCAGTTACAGAAGGCAAAAGCCCTCCAAGCCTTTTTTATTGGGCCCTTGTGAGTTCTGCTGTTGGCTGAGCCAGACAGAGTTGAATGGAGGAATGGCGAGGTGTGTGTCTGTGTGTGTGTGCACGCGCATGCAACATCTCAGCTTACAACACAAAAGAATGCAGTGTGGTGTCACAAGCATGATTTGATTGTCCTTGACACTGACAGCCAGGTATGTTTTTATCCTCCTCTGGCAGGTAACCCCACGAAAGAAATTCAAGTGTCCTGAGTGCACAGCCATAGATGGGCTTTCGCTAGACCAAACACACATGGTGGAGAGGTAAGTGAGCCTCCAACCAAAAGTGCGCCTTAGCCTCTGATCTCTACTTCCTGCCTCAGGCCTGTTTATGGGACTTTGTCGGAGATATAAGGACAGCAGCTGGTAGCCATAGTCACCTCCATGTGCACTGTGGGAATTGGGTTAGTTCAAGCCCAGGTCACCCAAAGAATTAATTCGGAATGCTACTCACTCAATTTGTAATGGCTGGAAGGGTCTTAAAAATATAGCTGGCCTTAAGCTCCAGAAGCCAAATTCTCCATGTGGACTAAGCAGTTAACCATCTACAGTCATTTGAGTGGAAGCTAGTTAATTCCAAGGAAATACTGGATTATTTTTCAGGGTAATAGCTCCACATTATAGTAAAAGCTTGATTAGAAGAATTAAACCAAACCCACCAGAGACAAATTACCTTTGCTGACACTGTGGAAATGCCTGCCAAGAACAGGATCGAAAGCAAAGCCCTCACGTTATAGACAGAGGGGCAAGACAACTCTAAAATACTCTCTTTATTTCGATTCAAGTCAGTTACTCAACAAGCACACCTTTGTGTGGAATGTAATCCTAGGCCTTGTAGGTAAGTATTAAAGGCATGGGAGATGTATGTCTTCCGTTAAGACTGTACTAGACCTAATAGTTCTCACCTGTACTCCAAAAGTCCCCAAGCTTTGAAGTGCCTGAATCAAACCTAATACTTTCAGAAGACAGTTCTTTATACAAGACAGCAAACTCTGACATCCCAGTAGCGCTTGTCAGGGGACAAAATGCACTCAGATAAGGATATAGTAGCCCTTTAGAATGAAATATCTAGTTCAGATTTCACAGATCTCATATGCCTCTGCTTGCAGAATTCATTTCTGAAATCTGTCAGCTATATTAAAATTCTTCAAGCCTAGAGAATTTTTGCGTGTGTGTGCAGAAAGTTGTTTCAGTTGGCCTGGATTCTGTAATGTTTTACTCTGTTTTACTCTCTAAATAATCTCTTTATCTTTTTCATATATAAACATTACCCAAATGACATGACCTTCACCAGCTGTTGATGTGAAATAATATACTGTCACTGGTATCATAAGTATTTCACAGTTAAGGGTAGTGACATACACTGTCAGAGCTCCTTTGGAAGAGACCCCAACTGGACTTCTATTGGAGTACATGAAATTGTTATTTAAACCTAAATAACAGTTTGGGGAAAATTCGTAACAGTGAGCTAAGTGGTCATTCGCTGGGCTGAGTTAAAATGTTGGGGATACTTTGGTCCAGGAAAGGAAGTATAGGGAGAAAAGTTGACCTGATGATGGCCTTGAAGTTCATGCTGAGGCTAAACAACTCCTCTAGCACTACTGAGATCTTAACAAATGTAAAGAGGTTTAAAATGCAGCGAGAGCCGGGTGTGATGGCTCACACCTGTAATCCCAGCACTTTGGGTTGCCAAGGCCGGTGCATCATCTGAGGTCAGGAGTTCAAGACCAGCCTGACCAACATGGTGAAACCTTGTCTCTACTGAAAAAAAAAAAAAAAAAATACAAAATTAGCTGAGCGTGTTGGCGTATGCCTGTAATCCCAGCTATTTGGGAGGCTGAGACAGGAGAATTACTTGAACCTGGGAGGTGGAGGTTTCAGTGAGCTGAGATCGTGCCGTCACACTCCAGCCTGGGCAACAAGAGCGAAACTCCATCTCAAAAAAAAAAAGTGCAGTAAGGGGATTTAATTTAGATATAATTATTATTAGACACTGGAGTAACTAAGGGGGATATGGAGGCTTCCTCTTTGGAAGTTTTTTTTGTTTTTTGTTTTTTTTTTTAAGAGAAAGGATCTTGCTCTGTTGTGCAGTGATACAATCATGGCTCACTGCAACCTTAAACTCCTAGGCTCAAGTGATCCTCTCATCTGAGCCACCTGAGTAGCTGGGACTACAGGTGCATCCTAGTACCACCATGCTAACTAGTTCTTAAATTTTTTGTGGGGACAGGGTCTCACCATGTTACTCAGCCTGGTCTTGAACTCCTGGCCTCAAGGTATCCTCTTGCCTAGGGCTCCCAAAGTGCTGAGATTATAGGCACGATAGGATATGTTATGATATGTAGGATATGTAGCTAGGAGGAGATGCTGATGGAGGGATTGGAGCGAACTGTTGGACTTTAACAGTGTCAAGGACCTTAACAGTGTTACATGTATATGTAACAATGCTATTTGTGATGAGTGCCCTGAGAGAGGCTCAAAGGGCTATAATTGATCAGGTGAAAGAGAAGTAACTTTTTGCTAGGTTCATTATTAAGAATAACTTTCTAAAAGAGGTGACACTTGAAGTGATCCCTCAAAAATCACTAGGATCCCAACCAGTAAAACCCTAGGCCAGAAGCAGAGACTCTCGGCAATAATTTTTTGTATTTTAGTAGAGACGAGGTTTCACCATGTTGGCCAGGATGGTCTTAATCTCCTGACCTTGTGATCTGCCCACCTCGGCCTCCCAAAGTGCTGGGATTACAGGCATGAGCCACCCTGCCTGGGCTTTTTTTTTTTTTTTTTTTTTTTTTTTTTTTGGAAGACCGGAGTTTTATTATTACTCAAATCAGTCTCTGTATATACTTTTATATATGTATATCAAGATATAGATATGTGGAACTAGAATTTCAGAAAGAAGTTTAAAAAAAGAGTTGAGCCCAGTCATACCTCAGTATCCATAGGGGGTTTGTCCCAGGACCACTAGAGGATACCAAACTTCATGCATGCGCAAGTCCCTTATATAAAGGCCTAGGATTTGCATATAACCTTTGCATATCCTTCTTTATAGTTTAAATCATCTCTAGATTACTTACAATCCCTAATACAACATAAATGCTATGTAAATAGTTGTTACATGGCATTGTTTAGGGAAAAATGACATGAAAAAAAAGTCTGTACATGTTTAGTATAGATACAGTTTTTTTCCAGATATCTTTGATCCGAGGTTGGTTGAATCTACAAACACAGAACCCTTGGATATGGATGGCTAACTGTATTTGGCAGTCATCTGTCCAGAGACAGCAGTTGACTAAAGAAAAGCAAAGGCAGAATCTTGGGAAATTCTGACATTTAGGAGACACAAAGAGTAACTGAAAACAGAGAGGCAACCACTGGAAAGGCCAGGAGAGAACCAGGACATACAGTGCTCAGAAGCATGGAAGGAGCAAGGAACAGGCAGGCTGGAGAAGGTCTTTGAATTCCATGGTTGTTGGTATCTTACAAAAATAATAGCCAGGTGTGGTGGTGGGCACCTGTAGTCCCAGCTACTCGGGACGCTGAGACAGGGGATCCCTTGAGCTTAGGAGTTCAAAGCAGTACCACTCCACAATTGCACCTGTGTGAATAGCCACTGCACTCTTGCCTGGGCAACATAGCAAAATCCCCATCTGTAAAAAATAGTAATAATGTCATAGAGTATGAAGCCAAAAGATTTTAGAGTATGAGTCGATGGTGAGGAAGTAGAGTTAGTGAATGTAAACTACTCTTTTGAGAAATTTAACAGAGAATAGAAGGAAACAAATCTGGAAATAAATTAGCAACTGGGAACAAAACTATTTATATTAAAAATTGAGTCACTGAATTATTAAATAAGGCATTTAGATAGGGAGGAAAGGAGACGTGAGTTAAGCCATCTTGGGTAGATAAAGAGATGGTGTTACAACTGTAGAATCCATCCTTCCTTCCTTTTCCCTCCCCCATCTTTGGCTGGTCTCCTGGCCTCAAACAGGCCTCCTGCCTCAGCCACATGAGTAGCTGGGATTATAAGTATGAGCCACCATGCCCAGCTGTTTTATTTTTAATAATAATCTTTGCAGAATACACATTTTATGTAAAACAGTGAAAGTAGTTAGCCACTGTACAAGTGTGTGTGACCTTGTGTTGGGTTTTGTGGTTCAGTAGCTTATTTATTCCTATATTTGGGGGTCTGGGATCAGAAATGTCAGTTGTGTAGGAGAGTAGCTTCCATTACTGCCCAGCTTCCGTTTCCAGGATCCGCTGTTAGTTCTTTAAGAGTCAGAAGCATGTGTCGCTCTTCATTTTGACAAGTGTCTTCACCAAGGTTAGCGCAGTATGACAGGCAGACAGTATTGATTTAAGAAAAAGAACATGGTATTTTGAATTAGGCTAATCTTTATTCAAATGATGAGTTCGCCACACTTATTAGCTGTCTGACCTAAGGAAATTGACTTTACCTTATCCGAACTTCAATCTGTTCATCTCCTAACATAGGGATATTAATATCTGTCAAATTACAATGTCCATTTATAGGTTCAACAAATATTTATTGAGCATCTTTGTACCCAAGCTGTTATGTGTGGGGATAAATGAAGTAGTGATACATGAAAGCCTGCAGCACAGGGCCTGGGAATGTTAGTTTCCTTCCCAGTTTCCCCAGCGTTAGTCCTAAAGACTGCTGGTTACTTTAAGTAATGGTATGTGTTTGAGAGGAAAATAGAAAACCATTAGTTCTTTCTTCCCCAGACACCTTCATCACTTCAGAGATAGTCAGTGGCAGCTCTTGGTGTGTTTGTACTTGATTGGAAAACCAACACAGGAGAATGGTTACTGACATGGTAGCTGGACCCCTGACAATAGCTCATGTGGGCCACCAGCAAACAGCCAAAATCCTGTCTCCCCTAACCTGCTCTCCAACCCAGACCCCCTGTGTGAAAAGAAAGTAGGAAGCACTGTTATTACCTGGCAGGAGAGTTAAGGACCTTGACCGTTCGGTGGAGGCCTGCCGCTTCTCCATTGTGGGTCTGTGTGAAGGAGAAAGAAGTACTCACTAGACCTGGGTTAGCCAGGGGCAGCTGTCAACAAATCAAGCTGGCCTGAGCCCCAGTGGCTTCTTGCCTGTGACCCATTCCTGTTGGCAGATCTAGTTACAGAGGAGACATTGTCCTCAATACTCTCTACAGGGCCATGGAACCACTATCCTCTGCCAAGAACCAGGATTCTTCTTTAATACATACTTGCTAGTACCTACGCTGGGCACAGCT